CACCAAAAGGACTGTTGTGGTTTAACCTGGCAGGCAGCTAAAAAACACAGAGCCGTTCGCTCACTCCCCCCTCATTTTTTTTGTTCAGCATGACATCATATGGTATGGAATATCCCTTTGGAGTGTTTGAGTCAGCTGTCCTGGCTGTGCCCCCTCCCAGCTTCTTATGCACCTCCAGCCTCCTTGCTGGCAGGGCAGTATGAGAAGCTGAAAAGTCCTTGACTTAGTGTAAGAACTGCTCAGCAACAACTAAAACATCGGTGCATTATCAACTTTGTTCGCATCCTAAATCCAAAACACAGCACTGTCCCAGCTACTAGGAAGGAAATTAACTCTATCCCAGCCGAAATCAGGACAGCTTCATCAGTATCTGCAGCCTTTCAGGGAATAAGCAGTGAAAGACCAGAGATACCTTTAACATCAACAGTTTGCCTACCAGTAATAGGGAGAAAAATAAATATTAAAACTGATTTAAGTTAGCTTTTTTTATTCCATACAAACTATTAAAGAAGTAGTCAGATCTTTGGTGGAAGGAGATATTATCTGTTTCTCTTCACAACACTGTTATATGCTATAATCAACAGGCATATTTATACTAAAAAAATCTTCTGTTATTTTGGTGCAGATGAAGTATGAAGACTGATTAGCCACATGCCTTTTTTTTTTTAATTACAAAAGAACAAAAACCACAGTTCCAACTCCACTGTCCACCTAAAGAAGACATCCTCTTCTATATTCCAGAACAGCTAGGACAGTAACTTTTGTCTCCTTCTGAAGAGAGGCAGAGGACATTTTTACAGGCTCAATACTGTATTTTTTCAGAATCGGCTTCTCTCACATTACTAGGGTGGGGGTTTTTTCCCATCAGGATTCTCCCTGCCCCCCATCATGTGACAAATGGACCATCCCTCCAATTTCTACTTCCTGGAGCAGACATGTAGGTTTCCTGACATTAGTATGGAAACCAAACAACACAAGCAAACACCACACCTACCCCCAAAAAATGCTCCAAACTCAAACACACACAAGGAGGCTACACAGGACCCTACTGGCAGCTACATTTATTGATATTCCTTCTAATGACAGTTCAGCGATAGAGACCCCATGACACTGTCAAAGAACCTTGCAGAAATTTTTGTGGTGTCCCACAGCACCATTGGACCCTACCTACTCAGAAGGCAGATGTAAAGCACAGGCACAGAAAGGTATTACCTTATCTTTGGCCACAGGGAGCGTGGTTTCTATAGGGTCTGGAAACAAAGTATCTCGCAATGGAGGGACACATCCAGTTAAATCTGGTACGTAATGTGCACGGAACAGTGGAGATTGAATTGATCCTGGGAAGGAGCATCTACGTTCTTCTGGTAAAGGCACTGCTTGGTTAACTACAGTTGTTTCAGAATGATGTGAATGAAACCGCTGCCGTTTGACATCATGTGGAATACTTTGTTCACTTAGTCTCCTAAAAACAAAAATAAAAAAAAAAAAAAGAAAAAAAGAGAGACAGTAATTCCTCTAGTTTGCAAGCTCCAACCTATGATTAAAAGACAGTTGCTACAAAGTACAAATGCCAATGCTTAATTATGTGACTATTTCACTAAAAGCAAGTATTCTACAGAACAAAAGGCGTGCCCATCCTAGATAGTAGGTGAAATAAACTTGGAATGGGAAAAGAGAACACACAACTGCAAAAGTGCAGCGACCCTTGGTGAATTGATACAACTGCTTTACAAGAGTGTCTGTATTAACCAATTGAAACCTAAATGGCAAGTTCGGTTAAGCAGGACAGCTCAGAAAGCTGGTCATACTATTTCAGTGACAACATAAAAAAAAAAAAAAAAAAAAAAAAAAAAAAAAAAAAAAGATACATACAGACTATGTAAGGGTACTTTTCTTTTAAATCAATGTAAGTGCAATGAGAAGTTTTGTGAGTTCTGAATACCCAGTGATGAATAAAATAAATTTGGTAGTGGGGAGGGAAGAAAAAGAAACTTATCACAATAGCCATTCAAAATGTAGCATTTGTCTGTGTCTTAGATTGTACAGACAGTAAACTGTAAGCTGGGCAAAAAAGAAACATTATTCATTTGACAAATCAAACTAATGATTGTATTAAGCTACACAGGTCATAAACCTAAAGTCTCATTTTCAAACACTAGTCTGTATCTCCTCATTAAGTCATTTGTCACAGGAATTTGAATATATTTGAAGAGATATAGTGATCTTACAGACAGCCCCCCCAGATCTTACAGAACACTTCATCGAGAAAAAGTTGTACTGAAAGCTGACCAGTGGTTGAATATGGTGGTCCATCCATGGTAAAGAATAAGAAAGGACATTCGTGTTTTAGTTATACATCAAGTATTGCCTAAAGTTAATCAGTGTGGGGGTACTCACACATTTTTTTAATTAAAAAACATGAAATCAAATGTTCATATGTATCAATGAATTAACTATTCATAAAACTACAGTCATTTCTTGTAGTCAGAAAAACTGGCATCAAAGGAGTTTGGGGACCTGGACAGATAGTATTATTAATAATAAAAATTTAACTGAAGAGACCTGAAGTCATCATTTTAGTTTGCAAGACCGAAAGAAGTTCTGATAACATTACCTATCCGCAATCTTAAAGGAACTCATAATGTAACGTTAAATCAAAACATAATACTGTTTCAGCCTATTTTGACTGAGAAGAACTTGCATGAACTCGTGTTCAGCAAAAATACCTTCAGAAGAGTCGACTCAAAATCTAAGGATTAACTAGTTGACTGCAAATCTCCCTACACAGCATAGCTTTCCATAAACCAGGCTGGTCAAGAGGAAAACATGCATGCAGCATAAAACCAGGAACTTCTTTAGTTCATGTGATAGTTATATATTCAACTATGACTTAATACCATATATTTAATTGTACTTATTTTCTCATCTGTTAAAACTGGAAGAGAAATAGAATACAGGAAATAGCTTTGAAGACAGATTACATAAAGCTTCCTCCCTATCAGCTGGTTGACAGAATTATTACAAACACATATCAACTACTATTGCTGAACTGATGAGGAGAAGTGATTTTTTTCAAGAACGTTAAAAGAAAATACAACCATACATTCATCTCAAATTCCTCTTTCTGTTGCAACAAAGGTAACACAGGGAGTTATCTAAATTCAAGTAAGTTTAGTTTTTTGAAAAGTAGAAAAACTATGTTTCCATAAAATTCCTCTTGAAAAAAGAACTTACATATGCTTGAATTTAGCACTTTGTATTTTAAAAATAAAGCATCACATAATTAAGAAAATCAGGAGAAACATCTAGTATGTCATCAGAAAAACATCATAATTCCCATAAAACATGAAGGGTGCGGTCTTACTCTTAACTTGACAAATTAACAGGAAGAGAACACTCAATTTATTGACACAAACCCTATTATAGTCAAGCACACACAGAAGACAATCCATTATAGTATTAAATAAAACACTTAAGTCACAGTTCTGTAAGGCTACGGCTGGTGGAAGAGAGAAACTACACATTCTAAGTCACTAAAACTCACAAAAGCAGGTACATGAAGGCTTTAAAGAGCCACGACATGCCCTGTTTCATCAAAAACCATTTTATTCAGTATTCTTGCAATTTCTTTTATTTTCTTGCAAATTCAGGTTGCACAAGAAATTGGTATTAGACAAGCTTTACCATGAGTACATTACAACCAGAATTAATCACACACACAAAGAACTTACTTTCTTCCTCGGAATAACGTGGGAGCATCAGACGTATGTACTGGACTGCCATTTCCATACGTCATCGGCTGCGGAGTAACAGCTGGAATAGGTGCAAGGTTCCGACTCAAAAGAGCCCTGGAAAGACTATAGTCCATAAATGTTATTCATATGATAACTAAGATGCTTTTTATGGGTTGGTAGTTTTCCTTAAGTGAATATGGAACTCAGCAGGTCCTGTTATTTTTTTCTTAGAAGAAATACATATGTCTTTTCTATCCAAAATGAAGAGATATTTCAGCACATAATATATTTTTCATTAAAAAAAAATCAAGATGGTAATTCTTCACAGCACACGTGTAAGAAGAGGTTAGCAAACAAATTAACTTAAGGCACTGTTAAACTTAAGAGCCTAAAGAACACTATGGTGTCTTCAAATCTAGCCCCAAGAATAAATGTTTCTTCCCCTTCTCATCTCCTCCCTGTTTTCCCCAGTAAACAAATACAACTGAAGATCTTTAAAGCTGAACTGTGGATTATTAACTCTAATCAGCGCAATGGCATCTCATGCATTATGCATAATGCAGGAGAGCATTAAAACTTGCAGGTCACCAACAGAAATGATAAAGCTCTGGTTTACACATAGACAGCTTCCTATTTTTTAAAGTTTAATGCAGTTTAATGTCAAAAACAGTGAAAAACATCCTCCATAAAAAGAAATACTTCTTTCAAAAGACCGTTAACTCTCTTTTTCAACCCAATCCCCACTATCAAATCTTACTGTACTTACGCTGCATTCTGAAAATTAAACTGAGCATCAATAATTTGCTGGTGAGAGAGAAGAGTAGGTGGCATATTCAGAGGAAGCTTATTGAAGAAATTACTCTGTTGTTGATGTTTTGGAGGGAAGGGTGGACGACCCAAGTTGGAGGAATTTGGGAACATGCTCCTTTCTACTTGAAGTGAACATGTATCCTTTTACCTACATTTAAAAAAAGAAAAAAAAAAAGAATCGAAATTAGGCAACAAGAAATACTAGTTACTTTTTAAACTCTTGGTTTAAAAATTCAAATAATCTAGAATGTATTTCCAGAAATTGTTTAAAAGAATTGTGATTGTGGGCTAGTTTTATCTCCTTTCAGGACAACACACTAAATAAAAATACTATATACTCTTAAGTTTCACAATTACTACTTACTTTTTTTATGTTTAAAAGTGAATTTTTATTTGCTCCCCTCCATTTTAATTTTAGAAAAATTACATGGCACAAAGGTTTTCATCTCAAGGAAAAGTAACATATTACAGTGGAATATGTTTCTTATTTCAAACATTCCACAATGAGATTCACAATATATGGGAGGAAACACTTGACTACATCATAAGAACATGAAGATGCAGCTGATCATGAACTATAAGTAAAATTAATTTTTTTTTCATGATATGATATGCAAAGAACCAGCCAAATGATGACAGCTATTGGGAAGTAATCTACTCATGCTTTAAGAATTTCATATATATAGTGTCATTTTATGCTTATACTTACTGAATGGATTCTGTGATAGAAAAATGTAGGTTTATTATCTTTTACATTTAAAATTGGTTCTGGCACAACTGACTGCTGTTTGATTTTGTATCATTATATGCATTATACATTAGCAGAAAGGTTGGATGAAAAAGAAAATCTTTGCCTCTACAGTAGGTTAAACTGTGTATTGCATCCATTTTGCAGATCATCACTATTTTACCTTAAGCTCAACTTATATGTTGGAAACAATGAAAGTTCAGACTTTACACTGGAAAAACCGTATCAGAAGATTTTTAAAACCAGTTATCAGTACTGTACATATCTCTCAGCTGCAGTGAAAACCTGACATTATTTTCAAGTTTCTTCATTTGTTTTTTACTTCAGTCTTAAATAAGAACCCTGCAAACAAAGAAGATGTGTCACTGACAAACACAGTTGTATATGATTGATCTCAATACTCTGCGTATGAATATTTATCCAATTAGCGCAATACAGGGATTCGAATACAAGAGGAATAAGTTTTTTCAAACAACTTTTAACCGGAACATTTACAAGTCATAAGAGCAATGGCAGTATTTCCCTAATTATTACATAAAAACCTTTTTATCAACCCAATGCTACAGTAATACAGTTGGAAAAAGTACTGATAGATCCATGCCCCAGCATGGAAATCCTATCACCACACAGTAGTCTAAGTTTGGAATAAAATTAAAGTATCACTTTTTAGGGTCTCTCAATTATGAAACTAAAAAAAAATTTAAAAAAATGTTCTATATGTATAAAAAATTGTATTAACAGTTACATTAATAGGCATTCTCTCATACACTGAAATAAAATCGGTTATTCCTAACTTTACTGTAGTAAGGTCTCACTGTTACCACAGCCTTGAAGTCTTCTTTCACCTACCACTATGGACTGTTGTCATGTTTTAACCTCTTCAGACAGCTCGGACTGTCATTGCAGGCAGCATTAGCACGGAACATAGGCAAATAAATACCAAGGAGTTTATTTGCTCAGGTCTGACTTCGTTCCTTACTTCCTGTGATGACAACCCACACTAGTGAAAAGCCAGGACTACCTACATGGACATTGCTGTACTAGCTCCAAGAAAGAGCTGTCAAGATTAATGCTCTCACAGTTTTTCCTCTTTTTTTTTTGGCACACAGGGGAGAGCAAGTATTATGTATTAGTGAAAGCTATTTTTGGGATGTTTACTTTCAATTCTGCTGAAGAAACAAAACCGAACTGCATGACAAGAAAGTCACCTGACATTTACATTTAATCTGAATGATATTTATGTGCAGTCTAAATTTTTCCATTTCTAGTACAGACAGGCTATGTAGCAAGTGTTGACACACCCCATTCATCTCTACGCAGCCCAGGCACTCTCGGCATCACGCACCGTATACATAAGCAGTTTATGGATATAATTCACCAGTAACAGAACCGTGCGTCTGAATTGAAGACTGAGTTGCAAAAGTAACGCGTTCTTTTTAGTCTTTGATGTTGTAAACACCAGCAAGAAAAGCAACGAAGGAGTTACCTTCCTTAAACCAAACCAAACCAAACCAAAGCAGCGCAGTAATGCTGCTGTCTCACAGTAGCGATCTATAGCGGCGTTTACCGTGACTTTCCGCAGATTACCTCGGCGGCATTGCCAGGCTCTCCAAAAGGAGCTTCATAATCGTTACAATTCAGGTACGCTTGTCCCAGTGGGCACTTTTTCCAATGGAAAAAGCGTGTACTTTACTGTTAAGCGTCTACTTTCGGGGGAAGCACACAAGCAAATGCCGGCACGCTTCCCGCGTAGGCAAGCCCAAGCGCACACGCCGCTCCCGCGGCGACCGGAGCCCCTCCAGCCCCCCACCTCGGCCCCCGGCGGCCCAGCGGGAGGCGGCCGGGGCCACCCTCCAC